AGAGTGATTTCTAATGATGTTACCTAAAGGAAGCATATATAGAGTAAATAGGATTGGTCCGAGCACAGAACCTTGCGGAACTCCAAAACAAACTTTGGTACGTAAGGATGATTCATTATGAACGTCAACAAACTGAAAACGATCAGATAAATAAGATTTAAACCAGCTTAGTGCAGAACCTTTTAGGCCAATTAAGTGATCCAGTCTTTGTAGCAGAATTTGATGGTCAATTGTGTCAAACGCCGCACTAAGATCTAATAAAACAAGTACAGAGATCCCCTTATAATGTACAACTGTCCTCATAATGTACAACTGTCCTCATAATGCACAATTGTCCTCATAATGTACAACTGTCCTCATAATACAACAAGTACCTGGGGCCGTACATCATGATGATCGGCAAGATGGTATGACATCACTTTAAATTCATTATTCAGGGACACGTTAACAAAATCTATCACAGCAGAAATGTCCTCACAAGGCAGAACTGTCCTTATACAAAAATGTCCTCACTAAGCAGAAATGTCTCCATAGTGTAGAACTGCTCTCAATATACTAAGTCCTCAAAAGGTAGAACTGTCCTCACCATGTAGGTCTTGATTTGACATTAATATTTAGAGAACTCCTCTGTTTAATTGATTTAAATGAATACGTTTGTTTTAGAAATACAATAACGTCAGATGGATTTCATGACGTTTGTTGTTTCTGTTTAAGTGACAAAAATATCACTGATGATGATGAAGGAGACTAAAACATGAAGGTCTGTGGTCTGATTGTCCTCCAGATGATCGACATGCTGTACTTCGTGGTCATCATGCTGGTGGTGCTGATGAGTTTCGGCGTAGCTCGGCAGGCCATCCTCCACCCGGACGAGGAGCCGACGTGGCGTCTGGCTCGAAACATCTTCTACATGCCGTACTGGATGATCTACGGAGAGGTGTTTGCAGACTCCATAGACCGTAAGACTAGAGTTCATAGTAAGACTTCAGTCAGTCCGTCAGCTGTCTGTCCTCTGTCCTCACCCACTGTCCATTGTCCTCACCCACTGTCCTCTGTCCTCTGTCCTCACCCACTGTCCTCTGTCCTCTGTCCACTGTCCTCACTCTCTGTCATCTGTATTTGCCCTCTGTCCTCACCCTCTGTCCTTTGTACTCACCCACTGTCCTCTGTCCTCACCCACTGTCCTCACCCTCTGTCCTCTGTCCTCACCCACTGTCCTCTGTCCTCACCCTCTGTCCTCTGTCCTCACCCTCTGTCCTCTGTCCTCACCCTCTGTCCTCTGTCCTCACCCTCTGTCATCTGTATTTGCCCCCTGTCCTCTGTCCTCAGCCTTTGTCCCCACCTACTGTCCTCAGTCCTCACCCTCTGTCATCTGTATTTGCCCCCTGTCCTCTGTCCTCATCCACTGTCCTCACCCTCTGTCCTCTGTCCTCACCCACTGTCCTCTGTCCTCACCCTCTGTCCTCACTCTTTGTCCTCACCCTCTGTCATCTGTATTCGCTCCCTGTCCTCTGTCCTCACCCACTGTCCTCACCCTTTGTCCTCACCCTCTGTCCTCACCCTCTGTCCACACCCTCTGTCCTCACCCTCTGTCCTCTGTCCTCACCCTCTGTCCTCTGTCTTCGCCCCCTGTCCTCTGTCCTCACCCTCTGTCCTCTGTCCTCACCCTCTGTCATCTGTATTCGCCCCCTGTCCTCTGTCCCCACCCTCTGTCCTCTGTCCTCACCTTCTGTCCACACCCTCTGTCCTCTGTCCTCACCCTCTGTACACACCCTCTGTCCTCACCCTCTGTCCTCTGTCCTCACCAACTGTCCTCACCCTCTGTCTTCACCCACTGTCCCCACCCTCTGTCTTCTGTTCTCACCCTCTGTCCTCTGTCCTCACCCACTGTCCTCTGTCCTCACACACTGTCCTCACCCTCTGTCCTCTGTCCTCAGCCACTGTCCTCTGTCCCCACCCACTGTCCACTGTCCTCACCCTCTGTCCTCTGTCCTCACCCACTGTCCTCACCCGCTGCCCTCTGTCCTCACTCACTGTCCTCACCCTCTGTCCACTGTCCTCACCCTCTGTCCTCACTCACTGTCCTTACCCTCTGTCCTCTGTCCTTACCCTCTGTCCTCACCCTTTGTCCTCACCCTTTGTCATCTGTATTCGCTCTCTGTCCTCTGTCCTCACCCACTGTCCTCACCCTCTGTCCTCACCCACTGTCTTATGTCCTCACCCACTGTCCTCACCCTCTGTCCTCTGTCCTCACCCTCTGTCCTCACCCTCTGTCCACAACCTCTGTCCTCACCCTCTGTCCCCACCCTCTGTCCTCACCCACTGTCCCCACCCTCTGTCCTCACCCTCTGTCCACTGTCCTCACCCTCTGTCCCCACCCTCTGTCCTCACCCTCTGTCCCCACCCTCTGTCTTCTGTTCTCACCCTCTGTCCTCACCCTCTGTCCTCACCCACTGTCCTGTGTCCTCACCCTCTGTCCTCTGTCCTCACCCTCTGTCCACTGTCCTCACCCTCTGTCCTCTGTCCTCACCCACTGTCCTCTGTCCTCACCCACTGTCCTTTGTCCTCAGCCACTGTCCTATGTCCTCACCCACTGTCCTCACCCTCTGTCCTCACCCTCTGTCCTCTGTCCTCAGCCTCTGTCCTCACCCTTTGTCCTCAGCCACTGTCCTATGTCCTCATCAACTGTCCTCACCCTCTGTCCTCACCAACTGTCCTCACCCTCTGTCCTCACCCTCTGTCTTCACCCTCTGTCACCCACCCTCTGTCCTCACCCTCTGTCCTCTGTCCTCACTCTCTGTCCTCACCCACTGTCCTCCGTCCTCACCCTCTGTCCTCACCCACTGTCCTCACCCTCTGTCCTCACCCTCTGTCCTCTGTCCTCATCAACTGTCCTCACCCTCTGTCCTCACCTTCTGTCCTCACCAACTGTCGTCACCCTCTGTCCTCACCCTCTGTCCTCTGTCCTCAGCCTCTGTCCTCACCCTTTGTCCTCAGCCACTGTCCTATGTCCTCATCAACTGTCCTCACCAACTGTCCTCACCCTCTGTCTTCACCCTCTGTCACCCACCCTCTGTCCTCACCCTCTGTCCTCTGTCCTCACCCTCTGTCCTCACCCACTGTCCTCCGTCCTCACCCTCTGTCCTCACCCACTGTCCTCACCCTCTGTCCTCACCCTCTGTCCTCTGTCCTCATCAACTGTCCTCACCCTCTGTCCTCACCTTCTGTCCTCACCAACTGTCGTCACCCTCTGTCCTCACCCTCTGTCCTCACCCTCTGTCTTCACCCTCTGTCACCCACTCTCTGTCCTCACCCTTTGTCCTCACCCTTTGTCATCTGTATTCGCTCCCTGTCCTCTGTCCTCAGCCACTGTCCTCACCCTTTGTCCTCACCCACTGTCCTCACCCTCTGTCCTCACCCTCTGTCCTCTGTCCTCAGCCTCTGTCCTCACCCTTTGTCCTCAGCCACTGTCCTATGTCCTCATCAACTGTCCTCACCAACTGTCCTCACCCTCTGTCTTCACCCTCTGTCACCCACCCTCTGTCCTCACCCTCTGTCCTCTGTCCTCACCCTCTGTCCTCACCCACTGTCCTCCGTCCTCACCCTCTGTCCTCACCCACTGTCCTCACCCTCTGTCCTCACCCTCTGTCCTCTGTCCTCATCAACTGTCCTCACCCTCTGTCCTCACCTTCTGTCCTCACCAACTGTCGTCACCCTCTGTCCTCACCCTCTGTCCTCACCCTCTGTCTTCACCCTCTGTCACCCACTCTCTGTCCTCACCCTTTGTCCTCACCCTTTGTCATCTGTATTCGCTCCCTGTCCTCTGTCCTCAGCCACTGTCCTCACCCTTTGTCCTCACCCACTGTCCTCACCCTCTGTCCTCACCCTCTGTCCTCTGTCCTCAGCCTCTGTCCTCACCCTTTGTCCTCAGCCACTGTCCTATGTCCTCATCAACTGTCCTCACCAACTGTCCTCACCCTCTGTCTTCACCCTCTGTCACCCACCCTCTGTCCTCACCCTCTGTCCTCTGTCCTCACCCTCTGTCCTCACCCACTGTCCTCCGTCCTCACCCTCTGTCCTCACCCACTGTCCTCACCCTCTGTCCTCACCCTCTGTCCTCTGTCCTCATCAACTGTCCTCACCCTCTGTCCTCACCTTCTGTCCTCACCAACTGTCGTCACCCTCTGTCCTCACCCTCTGTCCTCACCCTCTGTCTTCACCCTCTGTCACCCACTCTCTGTCCTCACCCTTTGTCCTCACCCTTTGTCATCTGTATTCGCTCCCTGTCCTCTGTCCTCAGCCACTGTCCTCACCCTTTGTCCTCACCCACTGTCCTCACCCTCTGTCCTCACCCTCTGTCCTCTGTCCTCAGCCTCTGTCCTCACCCTTTGTCCTCAGCCACTGTCCTATGTCCTCATCAACTGTCCTCACCAACTGTCCTCACCCTCTGTCTTCACCCTCTGTCACCCACCCTCTGTCCTCACCCTCTGTCCTCTGTCCTCACCCTCTGTCCTCACCCACTGTCCTCCGTCCTCACCCTCTGTCCTCACCCACTGTCCTCACCCTCTGTCCTCACCCTCTGTCCTCTGTCCTCATCAACTGTCCTCACCCTCTGTCCTCACCTTCTGTCCTCACCAACTGTCGTCACCCTCTGTCCTCACCCTCTGTCCTCACCCTCTGTCTTCACCCTCTGTCACCCACTCTCTGTCCTCACCCTTTGTCCTCACCCTTTGTCATCTGTATTCGCTCCCTGTCCTCTGTCCTCAGCCACTGTCCTCACCCTTTGTCCTCACCCACTGTCCTCACCCTCTGTCCTCACCCTCTGTCCTCTGTCCTCAGCCTCTGTCCTCACCCTTTGTCCTCAGCCACTGTCCTATGTCCTCATCAACTGTCCTCACCAACTGTCCTCACCCTCTGTCTTCACCCTCTGTCACCCACCCTCTGTCCTCACCCTCTGTCCTCTGTCCTCACCCTCTGTCCTCACCCACTGTCCTCCGTCCTCACCCTCTGTCCTCACCCACTGTCCTCACCCTCTGTCCTCACCCTCTGTCCTCTGTCCTCATCAACTGTCCTCACCCTCTGTCCTCACCTTCTGTCCTCACCAACTGTCGTCACCCTCTGTCCTCACCCTCTGTCCTCACCCTCTGTCTTCACCCTCTGTCACCCACTCTCTGTCCTCACCCTTTGTCCTCACCCTTTGTCATCTGTATTCGCTCCCTGTCCTCTGTCCTCAGCCACTGTCCTCACCCTTTGTCCTCACCCACTGTCCTCACCCTCTGTCCTCACCCTCTGTCCTCTGTCCTCAGCCTCTGTCCTCACCCTTTGTCCTCAGCCACTGTCCTATGTCCTCATCAACTGTCCTCACCAACTGTCCTCACCCTCTGTCTTCACCCTCTGTCACCCACCCTCTGTCCTCACCCTCTGTCCTCTGTCCTCACCCTCTGTCCTCACCCACTGTCCTCCGTCCTCACCCTCTGTCCTCACCCACTGTCCTCACCCTCTGTCCTCACCCTCTGTCCTCTGTCCTCAGCCACTGTCCTCACCCTTTGTCCTCAGCCACTGTCCTATGTTCTCATCAACTGTCCTCACCCTCTGTCCTCACCAACTGTCGTCACCCTCTGTCCTCACCCTCTGTCCTCACCAACTGTCGTCACCCTCTGTCCTCACCCTCTGTCTTCACCCTCTGTCACCCACTCTCTGTCCTCACCCTCTGTCCTCTGTCCTCACCCACTGTCCCCACCCTCTGTCCTCACCCTCTGTCCTCTGTCCTCACCCTCTGTCCACTGTCCCCACCCACTGTCCTCACCCTCTGTCCTCTGTCCTCAGCCACTGTCCTCTGTCCTCACCCTCTGTCCTCTGTCCTCACCCACTGTCCTCACTCTCTGTCTTCTGTTCTCACCCTCTGTCCTCACCCTCTGTCCTCACCCACTGTCCACTGTCCTCACCCTCTGTCCTCTGTCCTCACCCACTGTCCTCTGTCCCCACCCACTGTCCTCACCCTCTGTCCTCTGTCCTCAGCCACTGTCCTCTGTCCCCACCCTCTGTCCTCTGTCCTCACCCACTGTCCTCACTCTCTGTCTTCTGTTCTCACCCTCTGTCCTCACCCTCTGTCCTCACCCACTGTCCACTGTCCTCACCCTCTGTCCTCTGTCCTCACCCACTGTCCTCTGTCCCCACCCACTGTCCTCACCCTCTGTCCTCTGTCCTCAGCCACTGTCCTCTGTCCCCACCCTCTGTCCACTGCCCTCACCCACTGTCCTCACCCACTGCCCTCTGTCCTCACCCACTGTCCTCACCCTCTGTCCTGTGTCCTCACCCTCTGTCCTGTGTCCTCACCCTCTGTCCTGTGTCCTCATACAGCAGGAGCAATGATGGTTTTCACACAGATTAATAAACAGTTGATGAGTTTTTTGATGAATTCACCACTTCATCATTAAATAATCTTAATCCGGACACATTTTGACACGTTTCATGTACAGCTGTTCAAAGTCACGGCTGAGTCTCAATAATAAATGGTAATCCTGTGTGTGAGACATGTCCTGTGTTTCCCTCTCACTGACTGTTATTGATTTCTTTCTGTCTCCTCTCTGTTTCCCTCCAACTGCTGACGGACAGTTTATGCGATGGAAATAAATCGTAAGTATCTGACACAACTTCCTGTGGATGTAAATCAGTAACAGCTCATTATTTATTTTTCCCTGTAGCTGCAGACAGGAAGTTCAGTTATATACACAGACAAATACAGTGAGTTTGTTGAGCTGAAATATTTTAATGTGAAGCAGAAACACTGGATCACCTGCCGAACTGTTTCCTGTTGACGCCGAACTGTTTCCTGTTGACGCCGAACTGTTTCCTGTTGATACAAAACTGTTTCCTGTTGATGCCGAACTGTTTCCTGTTGATACAAAACTGTTTCCTGTTGATGCCGAACTGTTTCCTGTTGATGCCAAACTGTTCCCTGTTGAAGCCGAACTGTTTCCTGTTGATGCCGAACTGTTCCCTGTTGAAGCCGAACTGTTTCCTGTTGATGCCGAACTGTTCCCTGTTGAAGCCGAACTGTTTCCTGTTGATGCCGAACTGTTTCCTGTTGATACAAAACTGTTTCCTGTTGATGCCGAACTGTTCCCTGTTGAAGCCGAACTGTTTCCTGTTGATGCCGAACTGTTTCCTGTTGATACAAAACTGTTTCCTGTTGATGCCGAACTGTTTCCTGTTGATACAAAACTGTTTCCTGTTGATGCTGAACTGTTTCCTGTTGATGCTGAACTGTTTCCTGTTGATGCCAAACTGTTCCCTGTTGAAGCCGAACTGTTTCCTGTTGATGCCGAACTGTTCCCTGTTGAAGCCGAACTGTTTCCTGTTGATGCCGAACTGTTCCCTGTTGAAGCCGAACTGTTTCCTGTTGATGCCGAACTGTTTCCTGTTGATACAAAACTGTTTCCTGTTGATGCCGAACTGTTCCCTGTTGAAGCCGAACTGTTTCCTGTTGATGCCGAACTGTTTCCTGTTGATACAAAACTGTTTCCTGTTGATGCCGAACTGTTTCCTGTTGATACAAAACTGTTTCCTGTTGATGCTGAACTGTTTCCTGTTGATGCTGAACTGTTTCCTGTTGATGCCAAACTGTTCCCTGTTGATGCCGAACTCTTTCCTGTTGATGCCTTGTGTTGTGTTTGAGGGTCATTTGAAAACAGAGCAGTGGAATCTGACACAGAGAAATAAAACTGTGCAGCCACCAGTGTTGTTAGGGGTTGATATTTGGTTGAAGTTATGTTGTGGTGACCGAACCTTAATGTCAGGACAACGTCTAATTCCAACATCAGCTTGGTGTGGAACACTGTTGACAGACGACACTGATAATCTATTGGTTTTAATGTGAATTACAAAAATCCAGTGTCTTCCAAACGTCACAAACATGTTGAGTTTAAAAATAAGTTAATCCACGTTCATTATATAGTGTCGATGTCTTCTGTGTGAAGTAGGCATGAGTGAGACAGTGTGTCTTGTTTGTGTCTCAGCTCCATGTGGAGACAACATGTATGATGAAGATGGGAAGAAGCTTCCTCCCTGTATCCCCGGAGCCTGGCTCACTCCGGCCATCATGGCATGTTACCTGCTGGTCGCCAACATCCTGCTGGTCAACCTGCTCATCGCCGTCTTCAAGTCAGTGTCTGCCTCCTGATCCTGCTGCTGAGGCCACACTCACTGACCTCAGATCAGTTACTGTTTAAACACACTGACTGCAGCACACATAATACATCTGAAGGAAAACCTTTTTCAAAATAAAAGCCCTGATAGTTTAGATTCAGTTCAGCTCTCTAGGTTTCATGAGTTCATAAGCAATTAAGTAACAAAATGAAAAGCAAAGAAAGGAAAACATATTACTTTATTACAGTAGAATTAGTAATATTAATAGAGCTTGTAATAAGTGGGAACAATCAGATTGTGCTAAGCTAACTGCTGCTATTTAGTAACTCAGTCATGATTAGGGTTGGGACTCATTAGGATTTTAACGATTCCAATTCCTTACCGATTCCTACATTATATTCATTATACTTGCTGTACTTAAACAATAATATAATAAACACAAATGCAATCATACAAATACAAAAACTTTCTTCTAACTGTTGCGCAGTACAATTAGATGAAAATACACATTTGTGTGTGGTGTGTATTTCAGATTTAGAGCTTGTATCATCTCCCTGAGAATATATAACAACAAAAAGTGATTCTCTGATTTCTACAGTAACACTATTACCTCAAATTAACCACAGCAATGTAATAAAAAATACTTATGCATTCATGCTTGGGCACTGTTATTTACGTGACAACACCTGAACATAACACACACACAGATACATATTGGCTGTTTGTTTCTACCTCTCCCCTCGCTGGAAGTCTCGGACCTCCCGCCGCCCACCTCCGCCTTGATTAAACGCTGAAAATAAAATAAAAGAGGGAGACAGGTGTCTCCTATTTTATCTTATTTTGTTATATTTCTCCCTCTCCCCCTCGCTGGAAGCATCGGACCTCCCGCCGCCCGCTCCCGTCTCAAACACGGAGGTCTCACTCTCCGCTGAGCACCCATGGCGCACACCCGGCCTGTTAAATAGCCTGTAACCATGACAACTGTGTGACACAAACTCAGTGCTTTAGTAATTGGATAATGTCGGGCTCGGTCGGGTTCGGAGAGAAATATGCAGCCGTGCCGCACTCTAATGGAAATGCACGTGACGTTTTTTTTTTTTTTTTTTTACAATCTAGGAACCGTTTGCAGGAACTATTACTCCAAATGTGATGGAACCGGTTCCAAAAAAGAACCGGATCCCAACTCTAGTCATCATGACATCATCAGCAAAATGTGTTTGTCAAATGTAGTTTTAAACCTCAATAATAAACGTCATCAATAAGTTTCAGGTCAGACGTGTTGACGGTACTCCACGTGACCTCTTTTACTCTAATATGCTCAGATGCTAGCATGCTAATATTAGCTATGTCAGTTAGATACAGAACAGCGCCACCTGCAGTCAGTGGCTGTAAATATTTAGTGACCTGTGTTTAGTTCTTGAGAAACATGACCTGAGCAACATCACACCTTCCTCCTCTTCCTCTGCACAGCAACACCTTCTTTGAGGTGAAGTCCATCTCCAACCAGGTGTGGAAGTTCCAGCGGTATCAGTTGATCATGACCTTCCACGACCGTCCCATCCTGCCCCCCCCCCTCATCATCTTCCCCCACATTTACATCGTCCTGAGAAGGCTGTGCTGCCGCTGCAGACGGAGGACGGAAGGAGACCACGACGAACGGGAGAGACGACTCCGTAAGATCTGGTTCTGTCTGTCTGTCTGTCTGTGTGTCTGTCTGTGTGTCTGTGTGTCTGTCTGCCTGTGTGTCTGTGTCTGTCTGTGTGTCTGTGTGTCTGTGTGTCTGTCTGTCTGTGGGTCGTTGTGTCTGTCTCTCTGTGTGTCTGTGTGTCTGTCTGTGTGTCTGTGTGTGTGTCTGTGTGTCTGTGTGTCTGTCTGTCTGTGGGTCGTTGTGTCTGTCTCTCTGTGTGTCTGTGTGTCTGTGTGTCTGTCTGTCTGTGTGTGTGTCTGTGTGTGTGTCTGTCTGTCTGTGTGTCTGTGTGTCTGTCTGTGTGTGTGTGTGTCTGTGTGTGTGTCTGTCTGTGTG